TGTAAGCTCGTCCACCCATCTAAGCAATAAAAAATAAAAAACTTTCCTGTTTTTTGTTGTTATTAAGTGCATGTTTGTGCAATGGTTATAATTTGCAAAAAATATATATTGGTGAACTGTGTAGTCATCATGATCGTCACCAGTCCTTAAACGTCTACTTTTGACAGCTTTTCCCAAGGCTTGTCACAATGACCCGCGTTGCTCGCATCCATCGCATCATGAGCAGGTCAACGGTCCACCTTTTGATAGGTCTATCCACGCTGGGTCTTAAGCGCGGTCACCACTCGAGAACTTTTTTGGCCCCAATCTTATTCCTGATTTGATTTCGCAGGGAAACCGATAGACTGCACGGAACGCAAATACTTATCAAATTATTACAGTAAAATCATCCGTACATGCTAATCTGGTAGAGTACCGTTTATTAATTTCTTTCCTATGCATAATTCATTTCAAAGTTTAAATATAAGGGCACATGATTTGATTATTTTTGTATTCCAAATATTTTCCATACACCCTGTACAGTAAGTAAAACATGTGATTATACGCGCAATGTTGTAACTTAGTCGTGCGCGGGTCATTGATAGGGTGCCTAGTGTAAGGATTCTTAAATAACAGAGGACAATGATCTCGTGGCTGGGCGACGTTTTTTAATTGGCTTTGATGGGCGAGCTCATGGTATAGCTAATGTTAAACATCGCGATATGAGGTCGAAGATTCAATTATATTATTTTCAATAAGAATTAGTTTCCATTAGAGCTATTTGCGGCATTATATTTGAGGCATATATTTAGAGGCTTTTTTTTTTTTTTTGTTAAATGGTTGAACGAACCGTGGCTTACCTTAACGGTTAAATGGTTACCAGAGCCCATAGATATCAAAAACATTAATGGCGCTACCCAGCTTCAGAATTTACAATGTACAACGGCTGCCTCACTGAAACACCGCTGCACCGTTTCAAACCGAAACGTCGGTTTTAGTTAGTACTGTTTTAAGATAGCATTAGCTAGGGTGTTACTCTACTACCAGTAATTACTCAAATTAAATTTTTTGCGGAGTTCATTTTTATTACACTGTTATACCTTGGAATATATATAATTCTGTGGAAGTTATTCGTGAACGTGTGCTGGTATGTATTTCATTAGAAAAAATGGTACCCCTCTGTGAAATTCGAACTCCGGCACAGTTTTATCGTTCGAGACGAATTTATCGGACTTCCGACCCTTTGGGCCACGACGACTTCAAAAACCTATCAGCATTTTTTTATTTCGCTAGTTTGACTTCAAAATGCCGTTGCTCTTTTAGTATATATGTAGTAGTCTTTCGAGGACTATTCAAAAGTACTAAGTTATGATTGATATGACATATTACATATTAGTTTTTGTATTGGGTTAACAGCAACATCTTTAATTTGTAGGAATTGCTAGATTCCGAAAATCACAAATGTTAAATTTTCATGAAAATCCGTATTCAATTTCTGATATGTGACCGAAAACAATGCGACGAAATTCGAATTCTGTATTCCAGATTCTCTTTAGACTTAATGCGGAATCCACCAATAAATCTCGATGCGGTTTTCAAAGCTAAATTTTGCAAGCCAATCCATTTTCCCGCTGTCCGAGCTCTTTCCCAAAAACATTTAATGGTAAGATTTCAGTCATATGGTATGATTTAATGTATTGTCCGTAAAAATGATTAGTATTAACTCGGAAGTTTAATTTCGTAAATCGATCCCTACTTAAGATCGAAGTTTGTAGCGTCACTTAAATTTTGAGGGTTTTTTTTTCTTTCTTATTTCTTAGATGCTATAGCCGTTGTAACTGTACTTGAGACCTTAGAACTTATATCTCAAGGTGGATGGCGCATTTACGTTGTAGATGTCTATGGGCTCCAGTAACCACTTAACACCAGGTGGGCTGTGAGCTCGTCCACCCATCTAAGCAATAAATAAAAAAAAAACTTTATAAGTTAGTTTTGTTGTCACTGTAAATTATAAGTGTAAGACAAGACAATACTCAATGAATAATACAAATTATCTATTTCCTGTATCTTTACCGTTGATTTCAGTACGATTCCAGTTCGGTTCATTCTCGGAGTATCAATTTCAACTGCTATTTCAATTGTTTGAGACAGCAATTACAAATTAAACTTTCTCCTCGATACAATAGCGGAAAGTTAATCTTTAAGTTGTATCAGAAGTCTTAAAGACTATATAATTTAACTCGTGAACGTTTCAACACTTTCATTTGTATCAAAGTTTCAGAGTTTCATTCTCACCTCGCAGTTTCTCTACATAATACGAGTCGTCTATTATCAAAGGTGGCAATCTGTGCATTTGGACAAAAAAATGTTATTGATATGTCAGTACAGATTGATTTGAATATAATCGTCTCCTTCAAAGAATACGGTTCAAAACCTGCATTAAATAAAGGTTAATAGTTAACCTGTTATTTATCTAAGATGTCGTTCCGAAGAGTTTTGTGACTGCCAATGGAATACAAAGTCAATAGTTCGTTTTTCTGATTTACCAATCATTGTCCAAAAGTCAGATTGCCGGCTTTGATAATAGTCGACTCATACGTGATATTCACGCGACTATGCGACTAAAATGTATGAAGTTAACATGTTTGCACTACACTCAATTCCCTGATTTAAAAAAATACAATTAAGATAAATTTGTGAGTTTAGCGAATCGAAATTAAAAGCTGTAATCACTTAAGCTTTCATCTATTTTTACGTTCCTATGTAGGTACAAACACTTAAATATTTGATAGGCTAAAGCGCATAATGTGGTGGCTAATACTCACTAAGATTCTCAAATATTAAGTGTATTATCTTTAAATTGCAAATCACACCTCTTTGACATCAAAAGTATCAATTTGTACAAAGAAAATCGATAGTAAAATTCCTCGAACCCGAACGTATGTATGATTTGGTTGGTGACAGAAATATGCGGGGTGGTTATACCTACCCGTACAGTCTACTGTAAAATGGTAGTCAATATCTTAAATAAAGCTTTAGCTTTTCACAACGGGCCATTAAATTACTTTTTAACATAAAACAAAGTACATAAAACAGTGTCCTAAAAACAAAAAAGAAATTTTTCCGACGAATAAAAAGTGTTAGTAATTTATAAACTTGTATTAATGTTTTGCCAACATCTCTGACTTCGTTACGTTGTTTTCCTCAATTTAAGTGTAGAGGGTAATCCGTTTCGTAAGCACCGTAAATTCGAAGGTTCGACCGTAATGTAAGTTTGGTCTCTGTGGGCAAAGATGGCGCGTTGCTCCGGTCACGAGGCAAACACGCGGCCGTAGTGTACGCATGCGCATTACATGTCGGGCGGCAGACGGCAAACCACCCCCGCCCACTCACCTGTTCCAGGTTCTGTTAAAACCACTCATATTTCACGGGATAAATCGAGAGTCTAAATGAAATTAGAATGAGGTTTTTTTTTTATATTGCATATAGATTGTGTTAAGTGGGTAACCACTAGCCCTATCTATAAAGTTAATGCCGCCACCCACCTTAAAAAATAACCCCGAATTCTTAATTGAATTGTATAGCAGCTGTTAAACTTTTGAAACCGAAACAAACGACTGTTTCGCTGCAGAAATAGGAAGGTGATACCTAACTCTGTGGATTTATAATACGCCCTAATACAATATATGGACAGTGAAGTCTACGCAGATTTTATAAATTTTGCAATTTTGATTATAGATATACATTAGTCAGCTGCGATCGAGAGCGCATATTTCGAGATGAGTGGCGTCATTCTTGTTGTATTATCAGCTCATCTCGTCGTATACGAAAACAAAAGAAACGAATCCTTAAATGGAATATTTAGCAAATTAATAACAGTTTAATATGAGGTATTTTCTTGGCACCGAATGATTTTATCCGTTATTGGCATAAAGCCAAATGGTGCATTAGATTTTTTCACTACTGGAAATAGGGAAGAAAGAGAATTGTGTTCTAAAAATTAATTATATGAATTTAGGCCTTGTAATGTGAGTAACGGTTAAATACTTAATCATGTGTGTGTGAACCGGATTACAGAAGGACGTAGTCCTGGATTGCGTCGGATATTTAATAAAAATTATTGGTATCCGAATTCTACTTGTTTTGTCTGGTATGAATCAGTTAACCATAGTGCAAAGACCTTATAGCTCGATGTATACCTATGATGAAGATTTAATACATCATATATTTAAATTATGGTTGAAAGTTAAAACAGCCGTTTGGCTGCATCGAGCCTGCGAAAAACCTGGTGGGCTCGCAAATTTGTGCCCATAAACATCAACCCTATTATAAAAGTCTTTATTTAGTTTCAAAACGTTGTGGGTCAAAGTTTGCAAGATCGGGAAATATTCTAAGTAAACAATAAATCAACACCTATTTACGTTGACATGTTTACGAATGTTTGCTTACATACATAAGTTAGGATCTTTTTGGCGTTCTGCCAAAATTCCAAAACTCCCTACAACATGCACTGCAACGCGGGTTTTTGTGAGCCTATCATTCTTTGCTTCGATTTTTCTTATCCTCAATTGCTGAAATACAATTCAATCATCCAATAGTAGGAATTATTTAATAGGATATTTAGGGTCTTAATAAGAAGACACATTCGGGTCAATGTATTACGTTCAGCAATGTGTGAAACTATCCGAAACTCGATCCGCGGAATAGGATTACAGCAAACGGCGGATTTATGCTTCGGATTTGGGGAAATCCCGTTGGACAAAAAGGGATACCGCGTGATAATATTCCGTCATTTGTAGGCTACACAAGGACTCTTGTACTATTAACCGGATAATGCTTCAGACGATTGCCTTTTACTGTCTATTGCGGCTACGATTACTGGTGATTACTTCAGAAAGTAACGTTTTACATCAGATGTTTTTGATTGTGTTTGTTTAAAATACTGTTTTTTTTCTTTTCTTTCTATAAATGTATGTTTACTAATAATAAATATATTTCCTGTTTTCATGCTAACATAATAGTGGCCTTGAAGTGTAAGTATTTTAATGTTTGTGATTAACATTTGCAATTCGATTATTACGATTATTTCGAAATAATTATTTTAAACCTAAAGTATATTTTAGTTTCATTAAGAAATAGTTAGATCTGTGATCTTTAAGCAGTATATTATATTTCAGATACGGACAATCAACGAGTAATAATCCACGTTAAGGATGTCAACGATGAACCCCCGTATTTTATCAATCGTCCGCTTCCAATGCAGACTGTAGTGCAGCTGAATGCTGCTCCAAACACACCAGTCTTCACGCTTCAAGCCAGGGACCCTGACTCCGACCATAATATCCATTACTTCATCGTTCGAGATAGAACCGGCGGAAGATTTGAAGTCGACGAGAGATCCGGAGTCGTCCGTACCAGAGGGACCGACCCGTTTCAACTTGACATGGAGTACGTGCTTTACGTCAAAGCGGAGGATCAGGTGAGATTTGTGACATATTGTTATAATAAGGTCTCGAATTAGAAGTTCGTGCTTCAAGAGCCATGCTTTTATAAGAACATCTGCAAATTGTTTTAGTTTTAAGTTAAAATAAGCTTTCATTTTAGACAGATGTTAAGCATAATATTATTTTAATGTGAACTTAGTCAACTGAAATTTGGGCGACTAGAAGTAACTCTAAGACTAGCAATTTGTTATTGTCTGCATTAAGGATAATTGATAAATATTTATTATAAAAAAAAGTAGATCTCTACATTTTATGATTAAAAAATGATCACAATATTGTGATTGGGTATGTAGATTTGTATAGGTCTGTATTTGACTGTATAGTACCGATTTTTTTATTTGTAGTCTACCTAGTATTTTTTTTGGAAATTACAGAATTAGTATTTGTTTTATCTCCCAGTCAGAGATGCCTATTTTTTGGCAACCCAGTAAATTAAAGTGTGTGTGCTTCTATTTCCGGATATCGAAAAGGGGACACTCAAATTGTCTGAAATAACATTTCAATTATAAACTAATTGGACATAGCTACTCTAGATAACACTGCTTATTATCTAAATTTCATTTACTTTCGTTTAATATAGGTTAACTTAATAAAGATATAATTTTTAATTGCTAAAAAAAATATCCATTGGATTAGTAAACTGCTCCTAGCACTATGTAGAAGGCAATACATCAATAAATACTTAAACCTCCGTAATCTCGACGGGATTTAGTGGTCTTAAAAAATAATAATTTTGAATTGAATTAACGAGAGACGGGCATCGCGTTTCGAGATGTCTGAATTCGTAATTTATGAAGATTCTACTACAATTAGGGTTTAGCTGTTAAAAATTCCAAGTAGGGAATTCCAAGAAAGGGAAGGACTGGCGTATAAAAGTTAAATTAAAATTAACTTTCGCAGGAAAGAAACCTCTTTCAAGTAATTCAATACTTTGTCGGCCAGGCGTATTTACCTATGTGTTTTGAGGCGAATCGGTAAATCGATTTTACAAACAGAATAATGCTAAAAATGACAAATGAAATGGGAAAATGATAACTTTGAATAGTTATGTAGATGTTTTAAGCTCATTAATTAACATTTTAATGTACTAGGTACATTGTACGTACATAATTTTAACTCAAAACAAGCGATGTCAATTTCACTTATTAGTAGGTAATGGGTTGTCTTATGGTCGAATGGCATCACGATTCGATCCAGATATTCAGCCTTTAATTTCTTATGATCATATAACGGAACCAGATCAAGAAGTATAAAAAAAGCATTGCATTAATGAACATGGATATAAACATATTATTAAAATAATAGTAGAAAACCGGACGTGTTTCCGAGTCAAAAATCAATTTGAATTAACTAATGAGACTAATATGTCTTCATCGTACCCCCTATAGAAGGATTAGTTACAAAAACATTTCATAGAAATTATACGCTACTTATTTTTACCGCGAAGAAATAACGCGGTTTGATGAGTAGAATATCCTGATACAATGCAATTGAAATTTCGATCTTATATTATGTCTCGAGCTGAACGACAGAATTCACCTTGTGTATTCATCTCAATGGATTCTAATAATCATAATTTTTGCTGAATTTATCTCTTAAAAGAAATTAATGTTGACAAAACGATATTATTCCAGAATGGTCGTGTCGACGAAAGGAGGTTTCAGTCAACTCCCGAAGAACGCCTCAGCATCGTCGGCGGAAAGCGAGCTCCGCAGTTCTATTTGCCGAGTTACGAAGCTGAAATCGCAGAGAACCAGAAAAAAGATTCCGAGTAAGTTTTCAGTAATAAATAAAACTAAATACACTCGTTTTCCCAACATTCAGATCAAAAGGAATGTTTCCGAAACTGCTAGTTGATTACATTATTGCATTATACGCGTCCTTTGAAGACGTTTTTCAAATGAAACTGATTTTTACGTCTAATGCATTTGCACAATAGTAGATTTTGTATTCTGTACACAAACCGAGTTTGTTTGTGGTAATGTGAGACAACATAGTGATGAGATTGCGAATTAAACATAGCGGCTATGTAGCGGTTATATTTAAAATATATAAAAATGAATTGCTGTTCGTTAGTCTCGCTAAAACTCGAGAACAGCTGAACCGATTTGGCTAATTTTGGTCTTGAATTATTTGTGGAAGTCCAGAGAATTCTTAAAATGTAGATAAATATGAAAATGCTCGGAATCGCAAATAAAAATAACAATTTTGTTTTTCCTTTGATGTGTCCCCCGTCGGACAGATTCCTTTTGTTTGTTTGAAGTTTATTTTATACAAAAGTTTAGGTCTTTGATTTATCGATTGAGGCACTATGAAGTCTGCCGGGTCAGCTAGTTTAAAATAAAAATAATTAATTGATAATATTCCTCAATTAATTTTGTACGTTTTTATTCGACTACCGCGGATAATTCCATGCAATTTTTTCGATATTTGTTTATTATACACAAAGGCAAACAAAAGACAAAAAGAATGGTCTCGTATGATTTTAAAAGTTAAATTACTATTTTGCGTACTGATAGTGAATTATTCTACAAATCGGCAATAGTAATTGGGTTATTGTAAAATAAAATGCACCGAATTGTCTACAATAAATTCTTTAGACTTAGCGGAGCCTTAACTTTTAATCGATATCACAACATTTATAATTGGTGTGCTTAACGCCCCGTAATTTAAATTTCACCGTAAATGTATATAAAAATAAGGTATAAATTCATGGCGTAACAAAAATAGTAGACAAATATAATTATGTAGTTGACAGCTGTTGTTACAGCGTAGGGCGGCCCGTATTACAATTGAAAATTTTATCTTACGGCACAAGGTCGTTTTCACTTTGGGTTTCTGGGCTGGAGTAGCTAAAGAATTTGAGGTTGGCGTAAACTAAATACGGAAAAATATAAACAGATTCTGTCATAGAACTACTTACGTAAAATAATAGGATTGACTGAAATCATACAGGTAAAACAAACAGAAATATACTGTGATGTTTTGGACTTGAGATAAACTTTTACTTACTTATCATTTTCATTGCTGAAAGTCACGTCTAGACCGATTTTTCCAGAACAATTCACGAAGCATTTCCGTATCTCTTTGTATGCAACCTTCTTCGACCGAAAATTATTTTGTCGAAAAATAAATAATCTAAAACATAAATACATAATGAATAGGTAGTAAATGGATTTTAAAATTGACGAATCTCGACACGGTTTTAATTAGTTGGAACTATTTGTGATCGGATCAGTCTGGAGATTGTCCCAGTTTAAATAGTTCGGGGCAGTTCGTATTCCCCAATTGAATCCTACACATGTTTAATCTCGTGTCACCGTTTCGCTATAACCTAAATTATTCATGACATCACTGCGCTAGTCAATTGTTGTTTTATTTATTTATAAACGAAGCGAGTGTCGGACAGAGTCATTAAGAGACTACATATTTTTCTAATTTGCAGTTCGATAGTTCACTAATATTGTTCAATTTTAACGATTGAGTAGATAAAAGGGGAAAATATGTTTATTAAACACTTTATTACAATAAATACTAATTTGTATTTAATTTTGATTAATAGTTTTTTTGGTGGTGGATAGTGTCGAAACCCAAAACGGATAGGTAACAATTAAACAACCATTCTGCCTATTTTTGTCTCAAAGCAATGATCCGTTCTGATTTGTAGGGTGGGACTGATTCAATACCTATAATTGAACATTGAAACATTGACCTTTTTTTATTTATTGCTTAGGTGGGTGGACGAGCTCACGGTCCACCTGGTGTTAAGTGGTTACCGGAGCCCATAGACATATTTTTTAATTTTTTTTATTGCTTAGATGGATGGACGAGCTCACAGCCCACCTGATGTTAAGTGGTTACTGGAGCCCATAGACATCCACAACGCAAATGCGCCACCCACCTCGAGATATAAGTTCTAAGGTCTCAGTATAGTTACAACGGCTACCCCACCCTTCGAACCGAAACGCATCACTGCTTCACGGCGGAAATAGGCGGGGTGGTGGTACCTACCCGCGCGGACTCCCAAGAGGTCCTACCACCAGTGATTACGCAAATTATAATTTTGCGGGTTTGATTTTTATTACACGATGTTATTCCTTCACCGTGGAAGTCAATCGTGAACATTTGTTGAGTACGTATTTCATTAGAAAAATTGGTACCCGCCTGCGGGATTCGAACACTGGTGCATCGCTTCATACGAATGCACCGGACGTCTTATCCTTTAGGCTACGATGACTTCTACAACGTAAATGCCTCCACCTACCTTTGAGATATAAGTACTAAGGTCTCAGTATAGTTACAACGGCTGACTCACCCTTCAAACCGAAACGCATGACTGCTTCATGGCAGAAATAGGCAGGGTAGTGGTACCTACCCGTGTGGACTCACAAGAGGTACCACTAGTTTGGCGGTATTCACGTGGTGATGTCGTTGAGCTCCGTTGATCACTGATTGTATCTGTGTATAGTACTGTATAGATTGAAATTGGTGTTTAGCTAAGCGCTTAGTTCGAAGTTATTTGGATATTTACAATAAATGGTTTAATAATGAAATTCGGATTTCACCAATTTAGTAAATGAGTGAGGTTTGGTCTAATTGACTGGCGTGTATTGGGTACCTATATTTCCTGTTTAAATTTATAAAAGTACAAATTTAAATACAGAAGAAAAATCTCATATTGCGTTAATTAATGATAAAAAATTTTATTCATTTCAGTATAATATCAGTGAAAGCCAAGTCGTTTGCTGATCGCGAAATTCGGTACACGCTCAAGGCACAAGGTCAAGGCGCCGGAACGTTCAACATTGGCCCAACATCGGGCATTGTCAAGTTGGCCAAGGAGCTGGATTTCGAAGACCTACGGCAACCGCATGTTTATTCTCTCGTCGTCACCGCTACGGAAGATTCAGGCGGTTTCTCTACTTCTGTTGAGGTTCGTTTATATATAGTATAAAGTTATATATATATAGTATATAGTATAAAATGAAAATGACGTTAATGCATCGAACTAAGTTTTGATAATTGTGTTAGGCGAGAGAAATCTATTGAGAATAAGTTGTCCTAAGAGTTGTCTTACGACTAGAATATATCGACGCTTGAAAGGCAAACGCGGCTAAGCGACAATAACTGCTTTGTACATAAATGATAGGCAATAACCTTATTGTATGCGCAAAAAAATATATTTCTAGGTCTATTAAGATCATTTCAATCCTACAGCTAGATCGTTAAAATAATTTTTTTTTCAGGTAGGTAGTTCAACTTTAAATTAGTCTACTGTAAAGTTCACGCATTGTCGCTTAGTCACGTTTGCCTTTCAAGCGTCGATATATTATGTAGTAGCACTCCCTCTTATTTGTTTCTTGGCTGTTAGTCAGTCATACCACACACACAGCTATAAACTTCACAGATTCACGAATATAGATAGGTACATAGTGGAAAGTTCATAGATAAATTATTTAAAACCAGATAGGGGTCTAGAGTTTGTAGTAAATCTAGAATTTAACTTTATAACAAGTAGCGTATCAATTTTTTCTTTTATCTTTTACAGCTAACAATTAGAGTAACCGACGTAAATGACAACGCTCCGAAGTTTGAGCTGCCAGATTATCAAGCCCACAATGTTGATGAAGATATACCTCTTGGCACCAGCATTCTCAAGGTCAAGGCTATGGATGCTGATTCCGGAAAAAACGCGGAGATCGAATATCTGGTTTCAGGTAAATGAACCACCATATTAGGACAATTTAAAAAAAAAAGTACCGGTACCGCCATCTAGTATTAATATGAAAATACTTTTGATGAACAATAGGTGTCGCTATTAGATATTAATGATTTTGAGCTTTTAAGTCACAAATATTTGCGTATATAAGATCACGGGAATGCGTTTCTATAGTATTTAAAATTTTCGAATTAGAACAGATCAACCCACAGACACAGCCGACTGAGTTTTTCGCCAGATCTTCTTAGTGGGTTGCGTTTCTGATCCGGTGGTAGATCATAATCACTTTGCATACAAAGCACTGCTCTTGCTAGGGTCAGTGTTAGCAACTCTCCGGTTTGAGCCCCGTGAGCTCACCTACACACGCTAGGGTAAGCTGAAATAGCCTCTCAAGGCTATCAGCATAGGTAGGATAAAAAAAGTGCGTGTACTTTTATGTACGCGTGTAAGAAGTTATACTTTATTCTTCTTCTTTTTTATATTAAATAATTAATAATAAATATTTAACGTTAATAATTTCATAATATTTAGTATGAATTATATTAAATAATAATTTTGTCATTTATATTACTAAAAAATGGATGCTAATAGCACTTTTTTTTACGAGTGTACATGCGCGAAAGTTCACCTGCGGCTATATTCAGACTCGCCAAGCTACGTCGCCGCGTCGGTCGTATTGTAATGAGCGATTTAGTGGGCAACTTCATTCTGTTAATTTTGTGTCACGGTGCGAGCGCATCGTAAAATTTCACTCTGATAAATTTTTCATAACGCGCCTAAAGAAGTATAACTTCAAAACAGATAACCCAAATAAATATAAAATAATAATATAAATGTAACTTACCATTACAGATGATCACTTCAGCGTCGATTCGAACGGCATAATCACCAATAACAAACTACTGGATGCTGACAACAATAACGCTTATTACGAATTTGTAGTCACAGCGAAAGATAAGGGCGAACCCGCTAAAACCGGAACGGCTACCGTCCGCGTTTATACGAAGAATAAGAACGACGAGGAACCAAAATTCTCACAACAAGTTTACACTCCGAATGTAGACGAAAACGCAGGACCGAACACCTTAGTCACGACCGTAGTCGCATCGGATAAAGATGGCGACAACGTGAGGTTTGGTTTTGTTGGAGGCGGTACAAGTTCAGGTCAATTTGTCATAGAAGAAATAACCGGTGTTATCCGACTGCACAATAAAGCTATCTCATTAGACCGTGACAAATACGAACTCAACGTGACCGCTATGGACGACGGCGCTTGTTGTGTTAACGGTGACGCCACTATACACACCTCCACGGCTGTAGTGGTCGTATTTATAACAGACGTGAACGACAATAAACCTATATTCAAAGATTGTCCAACTTACTTTCCGAAAGTAGAAGAGGGCGCGCCTAATGGGAGTCCCGTTATAAAGGTGCACGCCACCGACGAGGACAAAGGTGTTAACGGTCAAGTAAAATATTCTATAGTGCAACAGCCCAATCAGAAAGGAACAAAGTTCACGGTGGACGAAGAAACAGGGGAAGTGTCGACGAACAAAGTTTTCGATCGCGAAGGCGACGACGGTAAATTCGTATCGGTAACGGTAAAGGCAACCGATCAGGGCGAACCTTCCTTGGAAGGCGTATGTTCGTTCACTGTTGAGATTACCGATGTCAACGACAACCCTCCGCTCTTTGACCGTCAAGTAAGCATATAGAAATTGTAGACAAAAGCACCTTGCATGAGAAATCACAATTGAATGTCATTTGCATGTATTTCAGCATTTCAAAGAGATTGTACAATGTAATAATCGTGTGTCTTCCAGAAATATGTGGAGAATGTCAAACAAGATGCCAGTATCGGCACAAACATATTAAGAGTTTCGGCATCTGACGAGGACGCTGATAATAACGGCGCCATTGTTTATACACTGAGTTCCCCGTACAATCTTGCCGACATTGAATATTTTGAAATCCAACCCGAGTCGGGCTGGATCGTTCTTAAAAAACCCCTCGACGTAAGTATGCCTTCACATTTATCAAAACGAATACACTCACGACCACATCACGTGAGCTAATGAAATGAGAGATGAATGAATGGGATCAACTTTACTAACAAAGTTTGGTGGATGAATGCTACCTACTGGCCTTAGGATTAAATTGGCACCGAGTTTATTTCGTTTAAATGTAAATAGTTCTAAATTAACCGCTGCTGTAAATAGCTGTGGATGGGGTAATCCTGGCTGTGAGGAGTAGTTGTCCATCGAACGGCGCGTGCTGGTGGAGCGCCGCGGCGAGGAGTGCTTGTTCCTCTTGCAGCACTATTAGTTTGAGTTGCCGTCGGCGCACTCCCGTCTTCGTTGACATTTATTTCCGCACCACCGTCCTGCATTAACTAATCTAACCGATAATGCAACCTGTGTACCATACTAACCAAGTGACGGAAATAATGCTGCTGTAAATACATATTTCACAAGACTATGTTTAGTTCTAAAACATGTACAGTTTACGTAATTAATTGCACTTCTGTATATTTCGCACATACTAGTTTTGGAATTTATTTTATGGTTAGTAATGAATTAATTGATTTAAAGCTTACGCTTCCGAACATACCTATCAGTATTATATGTATGTACATGTTTTGTTACTAATCCTACAAATAGTTACCGATGCTACGCTATGCCGAAGGCAGTTCGATTCTGCCCACTCATTCCTGATGTTTGACGACTACTCATATGACGTCTCTGTGTACTATAATATGACCGTGATAATTATAACTTTTTTCCAGGGCGCCTGTAATATACTCTTATTTAAATTGTAATATAATGTTAGTTAATAATCAAGATGACCAAAACGTCCTTGCGGCTGTTTGGTCATCTCGCCAGTTGTGACATTATTCCTTCTGTGAAAGGGGCAACGTTTTCGCGACCAAAATTTGTACAGTTCAATCGTAACGTCCATTGTTTGTAAATTATTCATTTCAATGAGTGTCGTTTCGTTGTAGAATACATGAGGTCATTAACATATTCTTATGGCAACTTGACCTTTCCGCCATGTCTTGTATGCAGAGCTGCATGCATTTGCTGCTTATTATGAATTTTTTTTTTGTTATTTTTTTTTGTTTTTAGTTAGTTTAGTTTAAATTATTATTGTAAAGAGTACTTAAAATTATACATAATGTACAGTTTGACTTTCTCTTGTACAGATGAACTTGTAAAATATTACGATAAAATATTTTTGTTTCAACATTTTTCTTGCACCACCTAATATTGGCTACAACAAGGAGTGCTACTGTAAGTAAGATAGAACGAGATGGCTGTACGTAGAATGACAGAAGATTGTTTGGAAGAAAGACGGTAACTGTAGTTTTGTAGTGAATCTATGCAATACTTTTCTATTTATAATTTTGGCTTTCTGAATGAAAGAAGACGACTGTGAGATTTTGTGTCAAATACTACTTTACTGTGAAACATCTGTAACAAATAACAAAATCAAAACTATTTTGTAAAAGAGGAAGATCCATGTTTTTGATTTAATTTTATTATTTTAGATTATTTATTAGCGATGAGTATGTACTTTATGTGTTTATATTTTAGTTGTGTTATATTTTGTTTTCCCCGCTGACCTCTGACCCCCGTGTATCTGTAGCGGGACAGGTACCGACTGCGCGTGCGCGCCTCCGACAGGGGCGACCCGCCCTCCTCCGCAGACGTGGACGTTGAATTAGACGTGGTAGACAGGAACAATAAACCCCCCATCTGGGATATGACCACGTATGGCCCCGTTCACATCAAAGAGAATGTCACAGTGGGTACCGTAGTGACCAGTGTGAAAGCAAGGTTGGTATAAGGCGCAGCGGGCCCTTGGGCCTGCAGCTCCTCCACTCCTTAACACTACTAACGACGTGGTTTTGTCTTTTTCCATCGACTCTTTCCCCAATAGCGAGAAACTTACAAGTTGGAGGCTATGGCTCAAGACAAGGGTTTCCCGCCCTTGTCCCGAACCGTGGAGGTCCAGATAGACGTAGTGGATCGCGCGAACAATCCCCCCGTGTGGGACCACGTGGTGTACGGCCCGATCTACATTCGAGAGAATTTGCCCGTGGGTGCCAAAGTGGTGTCCGTGAAAGCAAGGTGCGTGGGAAAATGTTCGGCACGGGCACCGCACGCAGCCCCACTCCCGCACGCACGTGCGCACGTGTCCGCCGCGCGACGACGCGTGCTTGCTCTGCTCCATCTCGCCTCACCTCGACTCTTCTACATAAACAACGTGTCAATTCTAATAATAATTATTAATTACAATTGACGATTTTTAATTCGAGTTAAAGTAATAGTTTTACCTGGTGCTAGCTGAGGATTTTTTGTAAGATTTGTTTGTTTAGTAAATTATATGAAATGAAAACAAAATAATTTAGGAAAAACATTGTTTATCCGCTGCACGATAAGAGGCTAGCTGAGGCGTGGTCGATGGGTGTGTCGTGCGCGTTATTTCTCACTCGGTGGTTTATGATGTTACTGTCATGTCCGTGCGTTTAAACTGCATCGTCACGAACACACATGAAATTAAATGTCACAAGCGTGCATTGGAACGGGTTCACTGCTTATATGAAAATTTGTGGGTTGTTCAAAAACATCTATCGATGTGAAATGTTCCGGCAAATCAGTAGATACTTGATAGTTAATTTTTGATGACTTGAAAAAAGTCAATTTTTAGTGGGATGTCGTATGTTAATCTTATAGCATGTAGACTGAGTGAGACAACAGTGCATTTTGATTCAGTACGTATTCATTTTAATTCCGAATTTTTAGTTTTCTATAAATTAGCATGTTAATTTGAACATGTTTAGATAGAGATCGTAGAAGTAATTCAACTTTTTTTTTAATTGAGTCAATATCAATGTCCTGTCTATTTCTACCGTATAATGTTTCCAATTCATTCAAGACTTTCACCTCTTGTCTCAAATTGGGTAGATTTATTATTCACTTTATACTCATAGTAACCGTGCGCTTTGGGAATAAAATGAAACATTAAAAATTAGTGTCTGTTAAAATTTGACAAAGAATACCGATATTGTCGAAATTTAGTTATTTTAAAAGTTACGACATACTTTCAGTATTTTTTTGCACAATATCGTTCTAATCGGGGATTTTCTTCAATTTATTTAAAAAAATAAGATGTATATGTAGTCTAGTACCAGCATTCCCAGTTTGAATAAGTCCTAATTTCCTCGTCGATCTTTCGCTCGGGTATTAATTTAAGTAACGTTTGGTTTGACAAACGTAATTATTTGAAATTAAAAATAAATAAAAAATAAGAAAAAAAATGTTTAGTAAATTAACATGGAAAATCAATAAGGTAGTATTAAACAAACAATAATTATTGTAAATTTGCTCCTTAACCCAAGGTTTCCATTTTTAATAAAGGTAAATAGTTTCAAATGTTTATTATAATTATATGCCGGTGTAATTTAAATTAAGTAAACTTGGGGAATATTGTTAAAGGCTTTTAAGATATTCTTCTGTTTGTCTTAAATCTGCTTAATAATATTTAATTCAAACTTGTTTTTTTGTGAATATGAAACACATAAAAGGCTCGGCTTAATGCCTCCTTTTAGATACTTTAGGTAATTTAATAACATAATATAATTGGGAATGTTGGTAATACAGTTCAGTTATCAAGATTAATTGGCGGTAAGTATGTCGATGTATAAAATGGTGAAATTATATGCATTTAGGATGCATAAATCTGGGCATTGGAAAAGATCCGTTTTAAGCACCGTAATTTGCATTTTCTACATAGTGCATCATCACAATGCGTTCGAAGAAATGGTATGGTCACACCTCTATGGTCTATCTGTTCGTCCTAAAATACACTTTCGAACTCACATTAATTATAGTATGGAGACGAAACCATTACTAACTCACACTACTAATATAATATTGTATGTAGTTCAAATAACTCATTCATGCGTCGGCGTAATGATTATGATAAAGAGGAATTTTGTAAAATTTACAAACAAAACAGAATTAATGCATATCAAAATCTGAAATAATATTATATTAATACAATAATCTGGTTTTGATATGACATCGGAAATAATAGAAACTTAAAGATCTAATAAATTCAAATAAAATCTTTTGTTATTTGATGACTTATGTTATAGAAATCATCATATTATGCTTTTGATATAACTACAAATGAGTGTTTTTTCGTTAAATTCCAAGGATCAATTGTTTTGGGAAATATCTGTATATGAGTGAAATTTGTTAAAAGTGCAATTGCAAATTGTATCTTTACGGGGTATATAGATTTGAAATGTTCATTTACTAAGACGAGATGTATTTATGATAGGCTAAATCAGTGAATATTATTATTTTTCGTTTGACAATGGAATCTTTGTCAATAGTTTTTTTTGGGCCTTGAATATTGATTTGGTTAATGAATCTGTAAAAAAGAGTTATTTGATCTATTTAATGTTACCTATCCATTTTGAAAGTTACATGTTTGTCCCGTAAATAGAGAGTAGTCATCTCAGAAGCATTTGCTGTTATATCTCGATTTTATTCGCCTTATGTGTTGTCATGTGCCTTAGTGAAATGAAATTAGCGTTTTCGAAGAATGCGAACTATATCGATTTCCATATTTACAGTTCCGGAATCGAGAACAACCCTACGGTGTTCTACAGACTGATGCCGGGGTCAACTGCGCAAACCAATAAATTCCACACGTTTTACCTCCAGCAGAGGGCCGACAATGGTAACACGTGGGCGGATATTAAAGTAAACCATCCTTTGGATTACGAAAGCATTAAAGAGTACAACTTAACGATCAGAGTTGAGGTGAGTTTCACGATGTCTCGTTTGATTAGATGTCAGGTGGTGATTTATGTGGTACATACTTGTGAAAGTGTGTCAGTACAAGCAATATGAGTGTTAATGATTTTTTATTTTGATAGTTCCTTTTTTTTTTAAACTAATCTTATAGTTTTCATCTTGTTATGTAGGCAGCGGCTTGGCTCTGCCCCTGGCATTGCTCAAGTCCATGGGCGACGGTAACCACTCACCATCAGGTGGGCCGTGGGCTCGTCTGCCTACAAGGGCAATAAAAAAAAATAAGATACCCACAAAGGTTTTTTTTCTTATTGCTTCATGAACACAAACAACTGAATATCTAATATTTCGTAATGCTTGTGTAATTAATCAAAATTGCTCGTATTTTAATTACCGTAATGGCTTTATGATAGTAAAAACGATGTTCAGTGATTATGTAGAGAAGGTTTTATTAATACGTGTAGAGTACATTTACATAAATTTAATATTACGTAGTGATTACGGGTAGCGGGTACCTACCTACCGAGATTATGAGCGTAACACGAAACGTTCTCCTTAAAGGTCAGAGGGCAACGAGGGCGTAAAACCTCGATTTATTGACTTAATTTTAAGACAGGACTTGTGTTCCGAATTTCTTTATTATTCCTTTTTTAGCTACGAATATTAATAAAACCATTATAGAAATTAAAACAAAAAATACCTTAACGCGTCTTTAATAAAGTGATGAATACATTAAAATTTTAGAGCTCAGTTTTATTTATTTATTTTGAGTTATTTGTGAGTAATTAATTGTAAGTAAAACAAACGAACTCGTAAACTACTAAAGGTACCAGGTATGGTTTTAGGTACAAGGGAGCTGTGAAAACTAAGATGGTAATAAAGCTAGTCCTTCAAAATAATTTATTTTATTGCACAGATGGGTGGACGAGCTCACAGCCCACCCGGTGTTAAGTGGTTACCAGAGCCCAAAGACATCTACAACGTAAACGCCGCCACCCACCTCGAGATACGAGTTCTAAGGTCTCAGTATAGTTACTCGTACAACGGCTGCCCCACCCTTCAAAACGAAACGCATTTCTGCTTCATGGCTGAAATAGGCAAGGTGGTGGTACCTACCCTTGCGGACTCACAAGAGGTCCTACCACCAGTAATTATGAAAATTATAATTTTGCGGGTCTGATTTTTATTACACGATGTTATTCCTTCACCGTGGAAGTCAATCGTGAACATTTGTTAAGTACGTATTTAATTAGAAAAATTGGTACCCGCCTGCAGGATTCGAACACTCTCTGCATCGCTCGACACGATTGCACCGGACGTCTTATCCATTAGGGCACGACGACTCAAATTATAATAAAAATGAAATTGGCCATTAATCAGAAAATACGGGTATAAGACCCAGCTACTGCTAACGTTTTGATTCCTTAGTCTTTGGTTTTATCTTGTTTTGAATCTTCTCCCCGTAAGTCCTGTTTTGGAAACCAGTGGAATTTCTTTCGAGGCTTGCACCACAGCCACATTTATTCTGCAAATCGTTAGATATTCCTATATTATAAAAATAAAATTAATGCATTTATTGTTTAGAACAACGGTGCGCAACAACTGGCTTCAGAAGCGACTGTCTACATCATGTTAGAAGACGTCAACGATGAAATTCCTCTGTTTACTGAACGAGAGCAAGAGACCGTGCTGGAAGGAGAGCCGATTGGTACCAAGGTCACCCAGGTCAACGCTATCGACAAAGATGGAACATTCCCGAATAATCAGGTTAGTTTAATACATAATTAATAAACAAATTATTTTCAGCCTTCTCAATCGAAGCAAGGCAAGTTTTCTTTTTTGATCACAATTAATTACTTTGGGTGTGGTTGGTATGGAACTACACGATGTATAATCAAACCATTAATTATGTTTTTCTGGGTTTTCCTAGCGCTGGCTATTTATTCACTATTACTCTGTTTAGGGTGTTTTTTTACCCATTGATTCGAATACAAAAAATCTAACTAATATATAAGATTTAGTAAATGTCGGTGACAAACGGACAATAATTCCATATTTATCAGAGATCAGGTAGGCGCTCTTCGGTACCAGGTATTGAAAAGACACGATTAATCAGTTACACTGTTCTTTATAATTACCAATAAAAACCACCAATTATTACAGATGCTACAATAAAAGCCGTTGATTTTAATTCACGATTAGTAAGCCTTGCGCAGTCGGTTTACGGGATTTCACCGGGCCCGTGTTTGTTTCCCAACTCTTGCGTATCATTTGACTTCAGGTGCACAGGCTTACCCTCCCGGAACACAGATTACGAACCACCGGTTTCTAAATCCGTTCTGACAGTGATATTACTCAAACTTTAGAGTTTTTTATTAGAGATTGAAAATAATTGAACAAAACAATTTCTCAGCGCTTTCTCAGCTTCTCAGAAAACAAACTCCGAATAATAATATCGTTCTCCGACATACTATTGAATGTTAAATTAAAAAGCTTGCATGCACTTTACCCGTCATACTTAAGTTACTTTGTGGCGGCAGCTATCACACAACACAAGATATTTGACAGATGCCTGAATATCACTTACGACATTTCAAAGATAAGCTTGCATATATACAAGTTCCGAACAACAACATTCGGACTGGTCTACCGAGCAATTTCACCCGCTCGGTGGAAGATCTTCCCTTTGTTTATAATGCCCAAAACTTCACTTAAGTTTGGAAATGGTAGGTTTTAGAGCACAGTACATAATTGGGTTATTACCAATATCCAATATCAATACCTCATAGCTCTGAATTACTGGACAAATTCTAACAAAATTAAAAAAATAGTTAAGGACAATGGTTAAGTCGATTTCATTAATTATTATTTATGAACTACTTTAAGGTTTCGTAAATAGTAAAACCATTTAATGAGCCTTTGCTAATAGTCGATTGACGGTGCAAAAGTATTGCGATTCGTAGAGGTTAAGACTGCGGCCCCTCCTTTTAGTAGCTATCAGAGTTCATACACTATAACGAATGGAATGCCGCCTTTTACTTTAAGACATGAGATTGAATGTCAACTGCTTTTTTTAAGTGGCTGTTCTGTTTTTTTTTTCTACCAAACGGGATTTGTATTAAATAATATAAGAAAAGCTTAAGTATTCTTAAGATTATGAATAGAATGTCATTTTTTTTTTAGTATAATACCAAGATATATATCGGAATAGGCTTTCTCAAAAATCCAATTTGGTATACTTATTAAGTATCTTTAATAAGTATACCAAATTTCGAGTTAATCCGACGTTTTGAAGGGGGTCAAAATCATATTTGAAGATTTCGTTACAAACATACATTCGTTTGAAGCTAATAAAAGCGTATTAATAAATGACATTGTTCAGATCGTACACTAAGTTATCACTTCAATGCGTTTTCCGAGAACACGAATCTACTCTATCAAGACAAATAAACTCTATCAATTCTCAAATCCTTCATATTGGATAGCCATTACCGCGGATAAAAAACGCATATAAGTGACAACGAAAAATATAACCTAGGAAGGGAAATCGCTTAGTTTAGATAGACATCAAGGATCGGACGGACTTCAATCATTTCACAGAAAGACAAAAAAAAAGGCATTCAATATGTTTTTTTTAAATACCAAATTACTCGATAATTGTTAAATTATTGTTTACCGTATCTTAAATTGTTACCTTTAGTTATGGAAAACTGCAAATCAATTGAAAATTATGCTACCAAGATATGCCCAATCCTTCGGAATTTTAAGTCTTCGTTTAGAGAACAGTAAATCGCGTTTCGCTGAATAAAAAATCAAGAATGAGCGCAAGCAATGTTAATTAAAGCAATAGTTCTGTCGATATACTCGTAGTAAGGAAAGTAATGACATTTTGGCATAATTTTTCACGTTATTAGCTATATATGAGTCGACTATTATCAAAGCCGGCAATCTGACTTTTGGATAATTATTGGTAAATCAGAAAAACGAATTATTGACTTTGTATTCCATTGGCAGTCACAAAACTCTTCGGAACGACATCTTAGATAAATAACAGGTTAACTATTAACCTTTATTTAATGCAGGTTTTGAACCGTATTCTTTGAAGGAGACGATTATATTCNTGAGTCGACTATTATCAAAGCCGGCAATCTGACTTTTGGATAATTATTGGTAAATCAGAAAAACGAATTATTGACTTTGTATTCCATTGGCAGTCACAAAACTCTTCGGAACGACATCTTAGATAAATAACAGGTTAACTATTAACCTTTATTTAATGCAGGTTTTGAACCGTATTCTTTGAAGGAGACGATTATATTCAACTCAATCTGTATTGACATATCAATAACATTTTTTTGTCCAAATGCACAGATTGCCACCTTTGATAATAGACGACTCATATGTAGTTTTAAAGGGCTCCGTTAATCATTAAATGCTAAGTAAACCGTAAGCTTGTCTGGAAATCTAAGGAAATAAAGACATAGAATTTCAGTTGAATTTCATATTTGCGTTCATATTTGTTTAGCTTGGGAAATGAAAACAATTTAACATAACTGTAATTTAAGAATCGCTTTTTTTTTGTTTTCGTGGAAGCCCGAAGGTAAAATCTTCTCGAGCTAAATGTTAATAAATTCTAATGATTAAAACGGATGCTTTGTAATTTATTCCCTTGAAGCGTATTTCATGGTAATATTTATTCCATCACGTTGGTATAAATGCTTACGCAAATTAATTATATCCCAGAAATGCGGTACATAACTCGACTGCCCACATAATGGACAGGCTCAGACGATACAATTAGCCTTTGCCCGTTTCTCGTTCGTAGTCAACTAATATAATTTACACAAATTAGATTGACCTCGTAACGAGAAGCACGCGAGACTGTTTATACTGTCAATGTTTGCCTAACACTTTAAATGAAGCATGTGTGCAATAATTATGTCAATGAATTTGACAATAATCGTAACGATTGAAAAATAAAGTAGCGGGTTTTGTGTTTAAATACTTATTGCCTTAACCTTTTTAGTGCAAGGTTGAAGTAATTTAACACTGGTTGAAGTAACATAACACATACTAATCAATATTTTTAAGAGTTGATGGCTGTTATTGATCTACGAAAATGATAGTGTTAAAAATTTGGAATATTCAGAAAACAAAATTATTATCCGAATAAATGGTTTTTTTTTTTTTTTTTTTTTTTTTTTTTTTNACCACGAACACAGAAACAACAAAAGGAAACAAAACAAATAAAAACTTCCAGAAAGAGCACTTAGTCGGCAGATGTACCACAAACACAGGCCGCGCGAACAATGGCCGGGCTAACAAAAGCCGGGCGAACAAAGACCGGGCGATCGAGTGGACGATGAGCACGTCCGCACGTGACGGGTGCCTCTATCGGAATGAATAAATGGTATAAATGATAGAGGAGTATGGAAAGAGAAAACATGTTGCGCCGAACCCAGGTGACTGGGGAAGAGTAGAAGAATGATGATACAATGATGATAATGAAACCGTCCGACTTTATGCGTAATTATTGGTGTTGAAGGATATTGTATAGGTTGTGAAGTGTGAAACAGCCATTATATAATAAAAACAAATAAAATTTCAATCTAATGTATGGAATGGGTGATGTCATTTTTGTTTATGACGTTTATGAGCTTGAGGAACTAGTTAATGCGTGGTAACGCATTTGTTATAACGTGTTCAATAAAACCATAAAACTAGGATATAAAGTTTGTTACGATGCATCTATAATTGAAGGTCGAATTTTTAGTCAGATATTTTATCTTTCATTGTAATCATTAAAACGACTTTATTTATTTATTTGTTTATTACACTTCATGTAAAATTTACATTGGCGGACTTAATGCCTAAGGCATTCTCTACCAGTCAACCAAAGGTAGTGCAGAGTAAATAGTTTACAGTTAAGTCACGTGTTTTTTTTATTACCATTATTTTATGAATAATTTTATATTTCGAATAGCTTACTGTCGTAGTCACGGACGACTAAGTTGTTAAGTATTCTGTGAGATTTGAATATAGTGCTACCTATAGTCTATTTTTCTATATTTTTTTTCAGACCTTCGCATTTCATTTCACACAGAACGAACGGAGATGAATTATAAAGTCAATTAAAAAAAAGCGAGATTATATTGTAAAAGTAGTTTTAATTATGGCCACAACTCGCGAAACCTAAAGAAAATATTTCTTTATAATATTATTACCCCAATAAGAGCCTGCTGCCTAGAGAACTAAATTTAGTCGCAATTCGTTTTTCCCGTACAGAGGAAACCAAATCTGTTTTCACAAAGTACAGTGATGTCAAAAAGTAATCGTCAATTGCTAACAATATAAATGCTAAGACTGGCTAAGACCGAAATTGCTGCCTCAGCGTCCTGGGTGTGTTAGACGGAGCTATGACGAATGATCCTCTTGTCGCTCATTGGCTGTGGCTAATGAGGTGTGATGTTTTACATAAATGAGTAATAAGAAGTAGTAATGGCCTTTACAACTAAGAAAATAAGTGCTATTATTGTAAATCACGTATTCCGTTTGAAAACTTAACAGAATCCTTGGTGTTTCTCACGTTCGTGTGTACATAGTGTGAAGTATTTTAAGCGTGTTTTAGAGCGAAGCATTTGTTTTTATCGGCTTAAAAGGCTTTACTATGTGTGATTTACATTCATCGTCTGGTTGTATCTAATTGTAAGTGATCTTAACTAGTTTAATACGAACTATGAAATCCATTTCCGGTGTATTATTTTAAA